GCACGAAGCTGAAAGCTTGGGCAGGTCACAAAGTGAGCCTGCTAGAGACGATTCAGAGTTAAGCCAAGGAACTGAATGCTATCAGCCAAGGGATTATGTAATGAGAAAAGCCTGCAATGGGTGAACTTCTCCACCTTAAAAACCTTAAGAGAAAAAGAACCTGGATGTTTGCAGGATGAGCAGAGGACACAATATTCAGACTGGTGAAAGGCAAATTTAAGACATGTTGGAAATATCTTCTCCTTACAAATATTAACCACTGCATTAAATGGGAGTCTGAGACAATGGTAAGGCTGGAAATTATTGAAGGCACAGCTGCATGCTGTGTTGGGAGTGGTTTTCAGTGGGGATGGTATGCATTTTACTTATTTGCACTGGGGATCCCTTCTGATTCTATCCAATTCTGTTGCCTCAGGCAATAACTCTCTGACTTCAATTTTCAGTGAAAATCAAAGCAATTATTTTTCCAAACAGAACCCTTCAAAGAAATGTACTTTGATGACAATGTTCTGGATTTAACTTGAACTCTGCATGAGACCCATCTCTCCCTTGTCTGATCTCGTCATTATTTACAGTGAGGTGTGACTGGGCACACAGTTGTTGTCATCCTCAGGCACTGCTTTTGGGAGAGAGGTTGGGGAATGCAGGCCTGGGGGTCATGAACACTCGGAGGAAGGGGGAGTTTTAATATGGGGAGGGGGGGACTGGATATAAACTCTGAATAAAATGGAAGCAAGTCGAACCAACTGCAACCTGCAGATCTCTGGGCACGACAGAAACGGAACGGGGTGGGGGGATGGGCCACAGCATGGCAGCTCCTAGGAGACACACTGTTATTCTTGATTTGACCCTTTCCAGGTTTAACTACAACAGGCTGTGACCAGGCCGGGGATGGCTCAACACCAATTCATAGGCCTGAGGGGGCAGAATGGTTTCCCCAGCAAAGAGATCCCTCCATCAGATGCCTCCTTCCTGCGGGGTCAGGGATTGACCACTTTTCCCTCTTCCCCATGGCAAGGGGGTTTCAGCCCGTGTGAGTGCGGCCTAGCTGATCCTACAGCCTCACTTCCAGTTAAACCTAGGCAGGGCAAGGCAGACTTCCAGACGGTATCAATACCACTGCTCAAGAATTTTTGCACTTTTTTTTCTAAGAGACGTTATTACACACCTTTGGAACAGGTGGGACTTGAACCCGGGGCCTCCTGGTCCAGGAGTAGGGACTTTACCACTGTGCCACTGGGGTTTATCTTGCAAAACTTGAATTTGACTATGTGAGACATTTAATAATGTCCCTCCAAATTCCTATCTCATTCCTACCTTGTCTTTCTGCTCTTCATGCCCCACGAGTGTTGCTTCACCTACAACACAGAGTACAAAATGTCTTCCAGCACCACACACTACCATTTTACTTGTTACAGATTCTGTGAGTGGGCAGAACTGTGGCAGGTGGATTTCAATAGTGGGGAAGAGCAAGTGCACTTGGGATCTAAGAAAGACGTCCCAGTGTATTTTCTAAATGCAAAGCTAGGAGCTGTGGATGAGAGGAGAGATGTAGGAGTCCAAGTAAAGTCAAGGCCATTAGCCATTGTCTACAATGGACCAGGGGCATCTCTCTGAATGGTTGCACATAGATTGAGGGTCACCCTTCCAAATCAAGTCTTGGGCAAGACCAGGAAGCAGGTCTCCATAAACTACCAGAGTCTTATGGAGCATCGAACATTAGCGATTGGGGTCATTCTGTATCTCCCAGCAACCATCTAACCGACTGAGCTAACCATCACCCCCATTCACCGCTGAGTACAGAACCCATTAAAAATGTGTCACTAGATCCGAAACATCATTTCTAAGAATGGTGGCCTTTAAGACAAGACAATTGGATTATCCAGGGTCAGACGTTACGCTGCAGTTATCCAAAGTTTTGGTTAGGTTTTGTATCTGGGTTCATGCTGTTAATTAAGAGTACTTTCAGGAAGGTTTGAGTGGTCCTGGAGGGTCTGTCATGTAGATTCATCAGAGTACTGGGCTATAAGGGATGATTTATGAGAACTGGTATATCCCCTTGAGTATAGAGGATAAGGATGATTTGGTTGAGGGGTTTAAGAGGATTGGAGAATATGATTAGCTGTTTCATTTGTTCTGTGCAGGGGGCATTGAGGGACGTCTTCCAGCACAGAGGGAACAAAGCTTTCAAATTTGAGCTTGGCTGCTGTCAGGCACCAAGACAGGTAAATCAATTTAAAATGCATATCACCTACATCAATGTATCCTCATTCTTTGGTAGCAGGTCAATTCGTTCCCGTATGCTGGCCCTTTAAGTATTTTGCGTAGCTATAACCACAGGGTACTTTAAAGTGGCTGGGCCTGCATTTGCAGCCACACAGCTCAGAAAGAGAACTGGCTGAGATCTAATTCAATGGCGAACAAGTTAAAGTAGTTTATCTACTCCGAATGAATGAAGACGTCAGCAAGTTGAAACTGGCAACATGACAGGGAGAAGCACATAGGTCAGGAATGAAAGCCACACAATAAGGTACCGGTTTTAGGTTGAACTATAGTTTATTTGCATCCACAAGGTGTATATAACACTGATCTGAACGTCACAGGATTGACACAACCTGAACTGCATGCAGGGTTTCACCTGAACCGAGCCTTTCAAAGTTTCACTCTGTTCTACGTGCCCTTGAAAGGTGAAAAGTAGAATAGTCATGGCCATAATCATCTTTAATAAGAGTTGAAACAACAGGATATTAACTCAGCTGATACAACCTCTTGCCCACTATAATCCCTTACAAGTTTCCAAAATCTGCATGCATTATCTGTCACAACATCTACATCAACACAATCTACCAATTCTGAGCATTAAGATGATGAATAAATTACAGAACACAACATTCTTGGAGTGAAATCCACAGCGAGCTACAGGTTATAGTGTACCTGCTTATTGAGCTAATGGCCTTTATACTGTGTGATGTGGAGTTCACGTTAACGGTGCAATCAACCAACAATGAGAGGAAATTCTGACAATCTCTCCACCTTCAACTTACAGGTGGTTACAAGCAAACCAGTTTGAGGTTGTTCACTTGCTCGCTGAGCTGACTGGTTACTGTACAGACATTTTGTCACCGTGCTCAGTAACATCATCAGTGCTGCTTCCGGTGAAGCAATGTTGTTCTACCCTGCATGGTATTTATATGTTCCTGTCTGTTGAGGTGTTCTGAGTCATTTCCGGTTCTTTTTCACAAGGGCTTGGATATGGGATCTAATTCCACATGTTTATTGATGGGTGGAGAGCCAGGCCTTTAGGAATTCCTGTGTGTCTATGGTTGGCTTGAGCAGGGATGGTCATGTCCCAGTTAAATTGATAGCCTTCGTTGTCCGAGTGTACCAAGATGAGGGATTGAAATGACACAACAAACTTTCCCTCACTTCAATGCACTCGGACACGAAGGCCATCAGTTTAACTGGGACGACTTGACCATCCTAGCTCAAGCCAACCATAGACACACACGGGAATTCCTCAAGGCCTGGTTCTCCACCCATCAATAAACATGTGGAATTAGACCCCATACCCAAACTCTTGCAAAAAAGAACCGTAAATAACACAAAACACCTCAACAGAACAGATCATATAAATTCCAAGCAGAGTAGAACTACATCACTTCATCAGAGGCTTCACTGATGATGTTACCTAGCAAGGTGATGAACCGTCTGAATGAGAACAAGCCAGCTCGGTGAGCAAGACAACAACCTCACCCAAAACCCCAGCTACAAATCTTCGCAAGTACCTTAAACAAGTTTGAAAACAAAACACAAACGCGTATCCATTTCATTTAATTCTCACGTAATTTCAGATTAAACCACAAACGTTACCACCAATCCATCAACCTCTGATTGCTACAACAGGTTTTGTCAGATAAATTCCCAGAGAGAGGTCTGGGTCGGTACAATCAGACGAAAAGCCACCATGTTCTCAGTACACAAACCCCACACAGGTATCATTCATTGCACTGGCTCTTAGTTCCCACATCCTTGCTGTCTGTACACTGTACCTTTGCTGTTGCATGAGGGGAGGCTCCTTGGTCCAGTAACAGAAGAGCCACTTTCTGGTTGTCATAGTGAGCTGCCACATGCAGAGGGGTCAGGCCACTCTGAGAGGAAGAGACATGGGAGAAAGGCCATTGGTCAGTTAAGGCAATCAAATCAGCAACCTCTTACAATAAACGCAACTCAAAATTATCAACTCTTAATGAACCGACTGAATGGCCAACTTTCAAACATAGTTGTCTTGACATAACAAATGTTTTGCAACCACCATACCAATGGCAGCTGTGCCTTCTGACATCTCAGCTCTCAAGGTTTATCCCTAGACCTCTCCCCATCTCTTCAGCTCTTCCTCCCCCCACTCCTGCTTAAAATCAACCTTCCGGCAATCTGTCCTCATATCTCTTTGAGACACCTCGCACCATTCTGTTTCTGTGTTCACAAAATCTCTACAGTGCAAAAGAGGCCATTCAGTCCATATCGACCTTCCAAAGAGCATCCCACCCAATCTCTGTAAATGCAGTGGCTAATCGACCTAGCCTGCAAATCCCTGGAAACTATGGCCAATCCACCTAACTCGCTCATCTTTGGACTCTGGGAGGAAATTGTAGCACCCAGACGCAGACACGGGGAGAACGTGCAAACTCTGCACAGACAGTTGCCTGAGGCTGGAATCGAACCCAGGTCCCTGGCGCTGTGAGGTAGCAGTGCTAATCACTAAGCCACCCATTCTGTGATGTGTCAACTGATTCAGATGGACATACTACCCACTGCATAGAGTGAACAATCTGCATTAAGCCAAACAGGCTCAGCCTATACAGTGAAGATTTGTACTTGATTGTGCAAAGGCACACAGGGACAGACGGTGGAGGAGTGCAGAGATTCCGGAGGGGCTTGGAGGGCCAGAGCAGAGAATGGAGACACTTGAACACAAGGATTTGAACTTTCTTTTTAAACCCAAGGAGCTGATTGGGAGGATATGGTAATTCAGTATGCCCACACATTTTAGGCCAGCAGAATTTGGGGTGTCTACTTTAACAGTGCAACAAGGCTACAGACGTCGGGCAGTTGTTTATGCTGTTAGCCAGAGCTGGGGAAAGGTAGAAAGTAGTGATGACTTTGGGCAGCTTCAGGCAGGTCTCAGGTGAGACTGACCACTCCAATCTCTCAGTTCAGTTGGTGTCACACGAGATATTGAGTTGATGCATCCAACAGATTGGACTCAACAGCGTAACAAGTGCACTGTGTACATTCTGAGCTCTTTCAATGCCTCACGGTTATCATGTGCTCAGACATTTCATAGAATCCCTACAGTGTGGAAACAAGCCGTTTGGCCCAACAAGTCCACACTGACCCTCAGAGCATCTCACCCAGACCCATCCCCTAATCTACACATCCCTGAACACTACGGGCAATTTAGCATGGCCAATTCACCTCACCTGCACATCTTTGGACTGTGGGAGGAAACCGGAGCACCCGGAGGATACCCACACAGACACGGGGAGAATGTGCAACCACACACAGACAGTTGTCCGAGGGTGGAATCGAACCCAGGTCCCTGGCGCTGTGAGGCAGCAGTGCTAACCATTGAGCCACCATACCGCCCCATGATCAGGATGAATGGTTGTTCCCTCACCACATACATCATTCAGTTAGCTTCTTCCCTTAGGGAATAACGATTGATGGATTTCTGACCCGAGTTCGTTTGAATCAGAGATTCCAAAAGACACAGACAAATTCTATGATGCACAAAATACTTCAGGTTCAATGTGGCTGAACAATTAATACTGATGGATACTGTAGTGAATGGAACAAGGTCAGCCAGGTGGATCTCATAGAATATCAGTTCCATGATTGGGGCTGTTAACCTGGTCCAATCAGGGAGCCCTGGCTGACAGATATAAACAGGAGTGTCTGGGGTTTTGCTCACTCTAGGAGCCGACTCTGAGGGAGCTGGATATTGTACAACGCACATGTAAATAAAGGGGGGCTTGGTGGTGGGACCCTGGCCTTTGTGGAATTATTTCAGCTATTTGATCGGGAAGGGTCAACTCAGGAGAGGAGAGAGCAAGGGGAGCATCAGCTGACTCCAGGGTGCTGAGCTCAATTGTAACAGTTGCAAGTGCTTGAGATTAATTCGACAAAATGTTGACCTTCCTGGCCTCTGTTTAGCTTCACAACAGGAGATGCACTCACTCGGTTCAGCACAGCTAAAGATGAAATGAAGATTTGCATTGATATAATGCTTTTCCAAACACCAGACTTCACAATGTGCTATGCAGCCTCTTTGAGGTCTAGTCACTGCTCTGAAGTAGGAAACAAGGCAGGCCCAATTTGTGCACAGCAAGCTCCCACAAATAGCGAGTGATAGTGACCAGAGACTGTCTCTCCCTGGCACTGTTCGAGGCATAAATATTTCCCAGGACACCAGGGCCCGACCAGTGCCAGGCATCTTTCACACTGTCCTGAGAGATCGGCCAGGTTTCTGATTTAATGTCTCGTCTGCAACAGTGCAATGCTCTCTCAATATCGTTCTGCAGTGTCAGCCTAGTCTCTAGAACACACGGCCTTTAATTCAGAGGGAATGCTGTCACTGAGGCACACCTGACACTGCATTAAAAACAGTTTAAAGGACAATTCCACCAATTATTACCTTTCCAGAAGCATTGGGAGATGCAGATTTCTGAAGCAAAAGGTTGGCCACCTCCATTCTTCCGTACTTGGCAGCCACGTGGAGAGGGGTGAATCCTTTCTGTAATGAGCAAATGCACATTAGTACGTCCATATCTACAGGTTCCATGCTGGAGAATCAGCAATAATTACACCAAATGGCATAGCAGGCTTGTCAGATCACATTACAGCTCCTATTATTAAGGTCTTTATGGGCAGCAAGTCCACAGATGACTCAACATTTTGTGGTTCTTGTAAAAGTAGGAACAGGTTGAGGTGATTCAGCTATTTGAACCTGTTCCCATTACTCAATTGGATCATTGCCATAATTCCGTTCAACTCCATTGACCTCCCGGAGTTCCCTCTGCCTTGTACCGTTCACCATTTCAGTGTGGACATCTCCCTTAACTGACCACTGCGTCCACAGCCTTTTGGAGGATGTGAGTTAGAGATACCTACCAGTTACATGGATATCATTAATGGGGAAAACTTTTAGCAAGTATCTGATGGAAAGTAGCAAGAACGCAGCTCACCAGCACCTCCTCAAGGGCAACTAGGGATGGACAATAGATGATGACCAGTCAACATTATATCAGTAAATGAAAAATAAAATAGATTAATTGAACAGTGCAGTTAATCCTTTTATTTAAGCCATTAAGCATGTAAGGATTGGTTGAGTGACCAAGGAGTTATGTCCCCACATTCTATTGCGATAACATCAGCAAATTCAAGCAGTCAGCTAAACCAATGCAAATGATTGCGGGGTTCTAAATGAAACAAGTCAAAGCCAAAATCACTCCGCGATAGTAAGAACTGCCGACGTTGGAGTCTGAGATAACACAGTGTAGAGCTGGATGAACACAGCAGGCCAGGCAGCATCAGAGGAGCAGGAAAGCTGACATTTCGGGTCAGGACCCTTCTTCAGAAATGGGGGAGGGGTAGGGGGCTCTGAAGTAAATAGAGAGGGAGGGGTTGGGCTGGGAAAGGTAGGTAGGATGGTGATAGCAGGTAGGTGGTAGTGGGAATTGGTCAGTGAGGTGGAAGGAGCGGATAGGTGGGAGAGAAGACGGACAGGTCAAGGAGGCGGGGATGGGAGGGGCTGGGGGAGGTAGGTGGGATGGTGATAGATGAGTGTAGGTAGGCAGTGGTGCACTCATCTATCACCATCCCACCTACCTTCCCCAGCCCAAATCCCCTCTCTCTATTAATTTCAGAGCCCCCTTTCCCCTCCCCCATTTCTGAAGAAGGGTCCCGACTGAAACGTCAACTTTCCCGCTGCTCTGATGCTGCCTGGCCTGCTGTGTTCCTCCAGCTCCACACTACGTTATCTTAAAGCCAAAATCACTGCTGTTGCTGCTTTCTGCTGCCTTTTACCTGCATCAGGCACCCACTTCCAAAAGTGGCCACAGCCCGAGCTCCAAGCTGTGAGATTCCCCCAAGTAGATGCTTTTGGGATGGTCCCTCACATCGCCTCTTTATGGTGGGTACAAAGAAAGATTTCATTGACTCACCATCCACCAATGAAGTGATTTAAAAGCTCTGCATCTTTTAAAGATGTTTTTAAATCAAGTTACTCACTGGTTCTGATCAAGATAAACCAAAAATCTTTGGTGACAAATACACTGCAAGCTGCATTAATAAAACTGTGCCAAGTCATAAATACATCGAGGAGTACAAGGATTAAGAACAATCCATAAACACTTTGCTGAGTTGTGCTGTCCAATGCTGTTTGATCATTGGGAGTTTTACATTTGTGGCTTTGGGATATAATTTTTGGCCGAAATGTGAAACCAAAGCTAACTGGTGCAATTTGATTTTATTAATTTTTAAAATTTATTCATTTGTGGGATGTGGGTGTCGCTGGCTGGGCCAGCATTTCTTGCCTGTCCCTTGTTGCCCTTGAGAAGGTGGTGGTGAGCTGCATTCTTGAACCGCTGCAGTCCTCCTGCTGTGGGTTGACCCACAATGCTATTAGGGAGGGAGTTCCAGGATTTTGACCCAGTGACAGTGAAGGAACGGCGATATATTTCCAAGTCAGGATAGTGAGTAGCTTGGAGGGGAACTTGCAGGTGGTGGTGTTCCCATGTATCTGCTGCCCTTGTCCTTCTAGATGGAAGCGGTCGTGGGTTTGGAAGGTGCTGTCTGAGGATCTTTGGTGAATTTCTGCAGTGCATCTTGTAGATAGTACACACCGCTACTACTGAGCGTCGATGTTGGAGGCAGTGAATGCTTGTGGATGTAGTGCAAATCAAGTGGGCTGGATGGTGCCAAGCTTCTTGAATGTTGTTGGGGCTGCACTCATCCAGGCAAGTGAGGGGTATCCCATCACACTCCTGACTTGTAGATGGTGGACAGGCTTTGAGGAGTCAGGAGCTGAGTTCCTGGCCGCAGTATTCCCAGCTTCTGCCCTGCTCTTGTAGCCACTGCGTTTATGTGGTGAGTCCAGTTGAGTTTCTGGTGTCTGAGGTTTCTAACCCCAAGGATGTTGACAGTGGGGGATTCAGTGATGGCAACACAGTTGAATGCCAGGAGGCAGTAGTCAGATTATGGTCACATGTACCGAGCTACAGTGAAAAGTACTGTCTTATGTGCTAAGCAGACAAGTCATACCTTACGTAAGTACATCAGGGTAATAGAACAGGATGCAGAATATAATGTTACAGCCACAGAAAAGGTGCAGGGAGAGATCAAATTCTCACGCACTCTGGGTGCTATCACAGGTGCTATCTCCCCAGTTGTGGCCATAGTGGAAAGCAACACTGCCCACCCACCCCTCTCCCTGCCATGACGGACCCTGTAAGAGATCAGCATACGCACCTTGGTGTTCACAGACAGCGAAGCGCCCTGTTCCAGAAGAACCGATGCCACGTCTTCGTGGCCTTCCCTGGCTGAGATGTGCAGTGGGGTGTAACCAGAGGTGGTTGCTGCATCTGGAGAGGCCCCGTGCTGTAACAACTGCTGCACAATGTCAGCCTTGCCCAGGCGCGACGCAATATGCAGTGGGGTCTGGTCATCCTGCAGGGAGCAAAGAGGGCAAGATGGCGACTCAATACACAGCCCGACTGTGAAATAAAAACCCCACAAAATGGGCATGCTCGCCCAACAGAAGATTGGCCGGGCTGCGGTAAAGTTTGGGCTATAGAATCCAAATCCACATTGTGGAAGCAGGCCATTCGGCCCATCAAGTCCACACCAACCCTCCAAAGAGAATATCCAGATTCACCTCCCTACCCTATCCCTGTAACCCTGCATTTCCCATGGCCAATCCACTTAACCCACACATCCCTGGACACTATGGGTAATTTAGCATGTCTAACCTACCTAACCCACACATCCCTGGACACTATGGGTAATTTAGCATGGCTAACCCACCTAAACCACACATCCCTGGACACTATGGGCAATTTAGCATGGTCAATCCACCTGCCCTGCACATTCCTGCACTGTGGAATGGAACCGGAGAACAGAAAGGAAACCCACATGGTCGCCCGAGGGTGGGATCGAATCCAGGTCCCTGGTGCTGGGGGACAGCAGTGCTAACCACTGAGCCACCGTGCCGAGCACATGAGATGGTGACTGAGTGGAATTTTATTTCTGCACTAAGCACCAGAAATACAAACAATGTTTCCCGGAGCCCACGTGGAATATAACAGGAAAGTTGATAACTACATTCCGTCATCTCCTTTTTGAGGCTTGTGCACAAAATGCCTTTGCTGACCCTGTCCCCTAAGTTATCTGTCCCTCATTTAACAGCAGCATTGCCATACTCTGGAATTCTGCTGCTATCTGGGAGCAGCAGTGATTTTTAGAGAAAACCATCCATCCCCCACCAGAAAAAAAAACACCAGAAAATTTGGAATGGATGCTCCATCAAGCCGAGTCCATTTTCAGGAGTGGTGGGTTGCTCTGTCACCGCTAAGTATCAGGAAACTTTCTTCCTGTTCTCATCCCTGAAACTGAGTCAGAAGCTCCAGTGAGGTCGCCATAACACCACAAGGTGATGCAGCAGAAGTAGGCCATTCAGCCCATCGACTCTGCTCCGCCTTTCAATCACATCGTAGCTTTTGTACACAGATTGTCAAAACACTTCCACTGACTGTCTACCACATTTCCAATGGCCATCAGTGACTGCACCGTGAGCGACCAGCAGCCCAGTGCAGAATGGGGGCTAGGGCCCAGTACGGAGTGGGGGTAGGGCCCAGTGCGGAGTGGGGGCTAGGGCCCAGTGCGGAGTGGGGGCTAGGGCCCAGTGCGGAGTGGGGGCTAGGGCCCAGT